GGAAAAACCACAAACTGAAGGACTGGTGATTTCCCCCCCTTCCCCCTCTCTCCCCCCCCAAAACATAGATTTAGTTAACACCATCAACATCCCCCCCAGCCCCGCACCCCCACAGAAATCCCCACCCCAACACCAGTCCAGACGACCTCAACCACATTCCCCATCACCCACACCTTCAACATCCTCATACTCCATACTAAGGAAAAACAACTCCAACCTTAATAACACAACCCACAATCAGGCTAAAATCTGATACCCAACCAGCACTATGGTGGCACCAGAGCGTACCAGCACCCACATCCCCACCCCAACACACCAACACACCAACAATGTTGCTCATAACATTGGCAACATTGCTTACGAACCTTATACCTGACAGCGACGTTACAAAGTCACTTCACACTGTCTCGCTGATCACCCCCTATCACAGACAACAGGGGGGATGGCCTGTCCTTGAACATGGCCTCCCACACCAGCTGAGACCTAGGACCAACTGGCTAAATGCCAGATGGCCCAAAATACCCCAAACAAACACCTATATGACTACATATAGGAAACTCCCTACAACTTACCCCCTACCCTTTAACCCAAATCTCACTCTAATCCCACTAGCCCCCCACCCACCACACCCTAGGTCAGCGCAACCCCACTGGTTCTTTAAACAACACGAAGAGAGAGACACAAGACAACCCAAACGGGTTGGCAGGGAATCGCCCCACATAATAGATAAGCAAGATGGCTAACCTAAAAGCAATCACATTAAATGTGAGGGGGCTGGGAAACCCCATCAAAAGAAAACGCATCACCTCATACATAAACACCATGAAACCACACATCACCTTCCTACAAGAAATACACAACCCACCCAAAGGCAGCAAACTCCTGAGCGACCCCCGCTTCAGTCAACAGTGGGTCGCACAAGGCTCAGGGAAAGCTCGTGGTGTAGCCATAATACTCAGTAGAGACCTGAACTTCACTGCCACAACAGTCCTCAAGGACAAAAAAGGCAGATTCATTTTCGCTAAAGGGACACTAGATGGCAAAATCAAACTGACAATCGGCTCCATATATGCCCCAAACACGAAACAATTAGAATTCTTCCAGAAAACACTAAACAAATTCCTCTCCTTCTCTGAAGGGGAAGCAATCCTAGGAGGGGACCTCAATCTAAATATGAAAGGTTTATCCCTGAAAGATATCCACCCCACAACCCCATGGGCAACCTTCCTCCGAAGGAAACCCCCAACAACTAGGAACTCTTACAAGTTGCTAAAAATGCTAAAAAACAGGGGTCTCTACGACATTTGGGGTGAGCAAAACCCGGGAGACATCAGCCATACATTTCAATCGGGACGCCATGATACAGTGTCCAGACTGGACAGCATTCTACTCACACAGGGTCTGATCCCCTCAGTAGAATCAACAAACATAGGTAACATTAAAATCACAGATCACGCCCCAGTAGAAGTCATCGTTAAAATAGGAGAAGGAACACAAACCACCCCATCATGGTCCTTCAGTCCCATCCTAACTACAAACAAACAAATTAGAGAGAGTCTCACAAAAACCCTCCAAAACTACTTCAAGGAAAACGATGTAAACAATATAACAACCCCCCTCCTATGGGACGCAATGAAAGCGGTCACCAGAGGAGCTTGCATAAAAGAGAAAACATTCCTTAAAAAACAAACCTCCTCAAAAATCAGCAAAATAGAACAAGACATCACAGCCCTCTCATCACGCTACAAACAAACAGGATCTAAAAAACTCCTCAAACTTATAGAACAAAAAAGGAGAGAACTAGACTCCCTAGAAATTAACAAAACAATGATCAGCATTCTATACTCTAAACAACGTTTCTACGAATATGGAGGGAAAAACTCCAGATTACTAGCAATGTAGATGTAGGAAAAAAGCACTCAAAACAAGAATACACTGCATCACCAAAAAAGACGGCAACATAACATTCTCCCCCGAAGAAATAAACTCAGAATTTGCAGAATTCTACTCCAACCTATACACCTCCCATAACCCACCAGAGAAGGAAATCAGAACATTTCTAGCAGGACTGACCATGCCTACCCTAACTGATGAGGAACAGGAATTCATGGACAGCCCTATCACCCCAGAGGAAATAGATGCGGTCCTCAAAAACCTGAAACCACACAAAGCCCCAGGCCCAGATGGCTTCACAGCAGAATTCTATAGGAAATTCAAAGAACCCTTGATGCCCTACATGACCCGCCTATTCAACGACATCATAAAAGGGGGCCCCATCCCCAAAACCTGGACCCACTCCAAAATAGTCTCCATCCCAAAACCACTAAAAGATAGCCTCAAAGTAGAATCATACCGCCCAATCTCATTAATAAACCAAGACTACAAGATATTCACATCAATCTTGGCCAACCGCCTAAAAATCTTCCTACACAAGTTAATAGCCCCAGACCAGACTGGCTTTGTCCCTGGCCGCAATATAACAGACCCCATCAGGAAACTACTGAACCTGATCGAACACAGCAAGGCAACCAAACTCCCATTGACAATTATGTCCCTAGACATCCTCAAAGCCTTTGATTGCTTGGAGTGGAAATACATATTAGCAGTACTAACTAACATGAAATTTGGCCCCAACTTCCTACAAATCCTCAAACAAATATACTCCCAAGCCTCAGCAAAATGCAGAACTAACAATATGGATTCTAATACTATAGCTATCCAAAGAGGCACGAAACAAGGATGCCCACTGTCTCCCTTCTTATTTATCCTGGCTCTGGAACCCCTAGCAATCCGCATCCGAGCAGCCACAGGCATCAAGGGAGTGGAAATAAAAGGCAGAACCTATAAATTAGGGCTCTTTGCAGATGACCTAATGGTCACAACACCAGACCCCATAAGCACAGCAACCTCCCTAATCAGAGAACTCAACACATTTGCAATGGTGTCGGGCCTACAGGTAAATTTTACAAAGTCAGAAGCTATGTGCTTCAACACCCCTCCCCACACCCAAAAAGAACTCACGAAGGTCACCAAAATAAAACTTTGCCACACCAAGTTCAGATACCTAGGGGTACAAATAACCAGAAACCTCAATAAATTGTACCTCCACAACTACAAGCCCCTGTGGCGACAAATTAACAAAGACCTAAACAGATGGAATAACATGAATTTCACTCTCTCAGACAAAATAGCCATGATCAAAATGATCACACTCCCAAAACTAACCTACCTATTCCAAACCCTCCCACTCTGGATCCCCTCAACCCAACTTCGCAGTTGGCAGAGAAAACTACACTCTTTCATCTTCTCACATAAAAAACCAAGAATAAGCCCCAAATACCTGCACCTCCCCACCTCAGAAGGAGGATGGGGAATCCCCAACATAGAAGCATATTACAATGCCAACCAAATACACCATATAATCCCATATATACTAGAAGATGAGACAAAACAATGGGTACACCTAGAGAGGGACACAATTGAAAACACCTGCACCACAACATACCCACTCCTCCCAAACAAACTAAAGAAAATTCCCACAACACTTAACAGGTACACACAGACCATGCTCAAAGCATGGAAAACACAAATAGGCAAACTATCCCCAACCCCATCCCCACTAATCCCCCTGGCGTACCACCCATTATTCCACCATGCAGCACAAAACCTCCAGATAAAAACCTGGCGAACCAAAGGCTTATATCGCCTAATATTTTATAAAAATAACAAACCCTTGTCAACACAAGAAATACAAGACAAACTAGAAGACACCCAAATGACCTGGTTAACACAACACCAACTACATGCCCTCTTAAACAACCCAACAGTAAAATCAGCAGCAACTAGGCCCCCTGACAACCTTCGAAAACCTCCTCCTAACAACAAAGGGAAACGGTAAAGGGACGGTATCCGCAATATACAAAATACTACTCCAAAACCCTGCAAATCCCCTAGACGCAATCAAAAAACAATGGGAGAATGACATAGGCTATGAGATTAACCCCACTCAATGGACCAGAATGTGGTCTAAACCCCCCTTTAAATCCATATCAACGAAAAGAAAAGAACTCACACTGAAACTCACCTACAGGTGGTACCTAACACCAAGGAAACTAGAGCTAATACACCCAGGAACCTCACCAAAATGCTGGAGAGGGTGCACCTCCACAGGCACATACCTCCACATGTGGTGGGAGTGTCCCAAAATTCAACTATTCTGGACAACAGCCATACAAGAAATATGTAAAATAACTAAGCAAGTAATAGACATCACCCCAGAATTGGCCCTACTAAACATCTTCCAAGACAACAATGCCCATTTACACCACAAAGAACTCATAACCCACCTGCTCTCAGAAGCCAGAAACACCATAACCAGACACTGGAGAGACCTGTCAGGAGTAAGCATGGACCAATGGTACCAAATAGTATGGGAAACAGCCCTACTAGAAAAATTAACTAATAAACTGAAACTGACACAGGGACAAACAGAAGAAGATGCCTTCACCCCGGTATGGCTCCCCTTTATCACATACACAGCCCAACAGGACAATGACAATAATCCACCAACAGCATACAAATCAATTTGGCTAAGCTGATCCAAAACACACACCCACCTCACTCACACACGAAAACAAAGATCACCACAGCCAATCACAAGCAAACAATCACACCCTAGGCCAACCCCAACCTCTCTCACCACCAAAGGAACACAAGTGAACAACACAAGCAGCGCTGACACCAAACTTTACATACATTAAACATAATAGAAACACCGCCCCCCGCCCCCACCCCCATCCATCTTCCCTCTCTCCACCCCCCCTTTCTTTTTTCTTTCTTTTTTCTTCTCCCCCTAATGCCTCAACAAATGAAACGGATTTGTAAAAATGTTACATGGAAGAAGAAGAAAAATACGAGGCACTACACTTCTGTAAAACAAGAAAATCCTTAATAAAAAATATTATTAAAAAAAAAAGCAAAAAAAAAAGCAAGGCAAGCGGGAGAAGGAAGGCACAACATGCCACAAAACTGTAACAATATAGCGCCCCTAACAGCCACAGGAAAGAATGGTGGTGCCCTGGTAACAAAACACTACCACTTTAGTTTATCAAACACCTATTGAGGGCCTCTATGCCTGGCACCTTAAGCCGTCCCAAATGGCACCATACACCACTGCACCCCCTCAAAGCTCTTACCACCTCTTCCTCGTCGTCGTCTTCTGCCAAGAGACGTCTTCTTCTGCCCAATGCAGATGGCTTGGGAGTGGCAACTTTGAAGAAACCACCCTTGTCCTCAAGAAGACTGCAAGAGAAAAAGACAGAAGGAAAAGGAGAGTGGGAGTGATGCAGTGGTTAACGGACCAGAACCCTGGGAGACCAGAGTTCAAATCTCTACTCAGTCCTGAAGCTCATTGGGTAGTGCCTACCTTACAGGGTTGATGTGGGGGTTAAATGAGGGAGTGGGGGAGTGCTAGCACTGATGTCAATGAATGGAGCAGAGGGGTGTTGAGAATTCCATTCCTCCCGTACTGCAGATGTGTGTGGGATTGTTACATGTCACATGTCTGTTTACATTCCAGCACTGATTGTGGGAGTCTTGTGAGAGGAAGTTGAGATATGCTGTTTCCGCTCTGTATAGCTTTTGTTTTTTGCCGCTCTCTCTCCGAGGAAGAAACACAGAGAGGGGAGCCATGTTTTCTTTGTTCTGTTACGTTTGATTTAATTTGTAATAAATTAGGCTTAGATGTTACTACTCAAGGCTGAGCTTCTGTTTTGAACTCTGCTCACTGTGTGCTCATGTCCCTGGATATGGGCCACATCAGTGTGACGGGAGACCCGAGGAATGAATCCCAGGCGACGCTGCAGTTGGGGGGAAGCAACAGGCCTCGGCGTTATCACCCAACAAGGGGGAGCCAGGGTCTTCCTTTGTGTCTTAAACCCCATGTTATTAGGGCGTGGGGGGGAAGGCACGGAAAGGCAAGAGACTCATAATTGGTACAGTTCCCGTCCCCCTCCCGCCCTGGCACAGACCTGGAATCCGCTTCCATGGGGCTGGACGCTGGTCTTGGCTGTGAGGCTCCAGCCAAGTCCTGCTGCTTGTCGGCTACAGCAGCTTGAGAGGTGGGGCCAGCGGTGTGCTGACTTGCCCCACTCTGCTCCTTGCCCTCTGGACCCGTTGTGGGCCCCTCCATTGGAGGTGCCGTCTCATCCGCCGCTGGATTTGGAGGTGCCAGAATGGCAGTGTCTTTTGTGTCCATTTCACCCTGAGTGCTTGGCCTCTCCTTCTCAATACTGGCGGAGAGCCTGAGAGGCGGCCTTGCAGTTTGAGCAGAGGCTGCACAAGTTTGTTCAACCGGTGCTTCCGAAGAATGAGCCTCAGGAGCTGCAAAAAGCAGACTGTCTTGGGCTCCTTCGAGAGCGGTGGATGGAGGACTGCTTGAGCTTTCCTTCAGATTAGCCAAAGGAGCGGGGGATGCCACTGGTGCTGGTTCTCGGAGAGAGTTGCTGTGGGGATCCCCATAAAGGGGTGCGGCACTTGGCTGCTTCCTTTCCGCAGGTCCTTCCTCCTCGGTGCTGCTGCTCCCCCTTTGCTCCTCCTGACTCTCCAGCAGCTGCAGAGTTGTTGTCTGGAACAAGTAGAGGGGAGGAGGGATTATTTGCCACAAAAAACGACTGCAGCCCCTGATGAAAGTACTGTGTAATGGTTGGTCTCTAACCAGGACTCAGGAGACCAGGGTTTGAATCCCTACTCAGCCACACAGGCACAGCTAAGTGACTTTCACTTTGTAGTACCTTAGATACAACCTGTTATTTCTAGAGAGCTGGGCTTCACCCTCTTTGCTGCTCCCATGATTAGTAATATGGTGCTACATGCCACCCCAATCTCTGACCGGTGCAAGATTCCAGGGGTCTCGCCACTTAGTCTGTGTTTCTTTGGAAATGAGGCACAGTGTAGACTGTGGTGTCATAATGATATATAGTTTATTTACACCTGAGCCTGTAATGGAGCATACACTCCAAGAGAGTCCCGTTTTTCCCATTGCTGCAACCTCTAATTCAAACTGTTTTGATCTGTGCTCTGATCCTGCCTCTCCAGCTTGCTGCATTTAACAGACTGAAAGCCTTTTTTCTTTTGATCACACCATAGCCAACTGAAATCCTAAAACTTCCTCCTAACCAAAACTTTGGCACTCTCTTCAAACTCACTATCTCAAAGCTCTGGGTGGGGCTTCACCCATCTGCTGGCTGGTAGAGCGTCTGTCTTGCTGATGGCCCATCTCTCTGTCTGCAGCACATACTGTATACTAAAATTGGATTGATAAAGAGGTTAGCATGGCCTCTGCAAATTGGTGAAGTGTTCCATTTTTTAAAGATGTTTAATGTTTGACTATGTTTTATATATGTGTTGGAAGCCACCCAGAGTGGCTGGGTATAAACAAAATAATCAATCAATCAATCATAATCATAATCATCATCATTATCATCTTCTTCATTATTAGTTCTCTAATGGCCCACCTCTCAAGCGATCTCCTCAACACAGGAAGCTGAGTCCAGCTGTTAAGCGTCTGACTTTCAGTTTCACTCTCCAAGCAGTGATTACATTCTAACACTTACTAAACCCAGTAGTTATGGGCATCTTGCACCCAAAACTCTGGCACCCAAACTCATGACATTTGGAACCATACAAAAGGGAAGAGAAATGATAGACCAGTTCACTCAATCTGCATCTTATTCAGGTGTCAGGATCCATCTGCCCTGGGCTGTACCTTGATGGCGTTCAGGACGATACCCAGGACCTCCTGGCCAGTATAGGACTCCTCTAAGTTGAACTGGCTCCGCAGGGACTGGAAGACCTCATTCATGATCTTCTTCACCTGGGGCAGGATGATGCCAAAGAGTCAGAAGGCAGGGAAGCAACACCAGAAAGGACAGTGGGCTTGCAAGAGCTTCTGGACAGCCAAATGTGGTGATGATTTCATTTATTCATTTATTTTACAACCAACATACATTATCTGGATAGCATCCACGTGCCAAGCGATGGATGACATTGAATTGTGCTGTTCAGACTAACAGGTAACAACTCCTGATTGAAGTTACAGAAGTGTGGATTGCCATTGCTTTTGCTGAATGTGATTAAGATTTCTCTCTACTGCTTGTCCCCCCACCACTTTCCTTAACACTTGTTATTTCAAGAGCACTTCAGGGTTTGTTACAGAGAGAGGTTACAGAGTGTGTATTTTTAGGAGATACCTTATTTGTGAGACTGTAAACTATTTTAAACTGTTGTTAACTGCTGTTGCCTCTGCCAACCTGGTGCCCTTCCAAAAGTTTGGGACCAATTAGGCAAGCCACATTTCCACACTGCATTGAGGTGGGTGGGGCAGAAGGCAAGGAGTCCAATGACAGACAGAGCCACATCCTGATTGGCTGTAAGGAAGAAGGCAAATAAGTGGTGGCTGGGTGAGGGCAGTGCCCTGTTTGCCTAATAGACGAGACTCCACTGACTATCACTTCTTGGGGGCCGCCTGCCAGGAGTAAAAGTAGGTGGAGCAACACACGTTAATTTCCCCACTTGTCCCTTTCAATCCTCCATTTAAGAATGAAAGAAGAAGCCCAGCCAGATGGGAGGGGTATAGATTCTTTCATCATCATCATCATCATCATCAGATCTTCCAGGGAGGCAAAGAACAGTCAAGGGTGCAAAGCTGGGGGGGAGGGGGAGGGGTGTGGCACTGGGAGAATCCTAAGGGTCAGAGTGAGTTTTCCAGGGAGCCACTTCTGGCCTCGGGTGATGACTTTTGCCACCCCTGCGGACTACCTTCTCCAGATTCTCCTTCTGAACGCGGATATCAGCCAGCTCCTCTTCCAGGGCTGCCACCTTCTCATCCAAATTCTTCCCACTCAGCTTCTCCTCCTGGTATCTGCTTTTCATGTCGTCAGACGATTTATGAAGTTCTGTGGAGGTGGGGCACAGAGCCGGTTACAGTGCATGCCCTTGTTTCCATCCACTGCTGTAGCTAAGCCTAAGTACAGCGCCATCTGCACTATATGCGTCAAACACTCACAGCTTCCCACAAAGCATTCTGGGAAATGGGAACATTCTCTTAAGGGTGCTGAGAGGTGGTGGGAGACCTCAGTCTGCCACCACCCCCAGCTACAATTCCCAGACTGTTAAACTATGCTGAAAATGGCCGCTTAAGCAGGGCTCTCCACTTCAACACAACTATTGGCAGCTGGAATGAACCACACTTCCCAGTCTGCCACAAACCCCCAGCTACAATTCCCAGACTGTTAAACTATGCTGGAAATGGCTGCTTAAGCAGGGCTCTCCACTTCTACACAACTACAGTGGTACCTCGGGTTAAGTACTTATTTCGTTCTGGAGGTCCGTTCTTAACCTGAAACTTAACCTAAGGTACCACTTTACCTAATGAGTGCCACGCAGCTGGAGCACGATTTCTGTTCTCATCCTGAAACAAAATTCTTAACCCGAGGTACTATTTCTGGGTTAGTGGAGTCTGTAATCTGAAGCGTCTGTAACCTGAAGCGTCTGTAACTCGAGGTACCACTATATTGGCAGCAGGAACGAACCACACTTCCCAGGATTCCTTGGGAGAAAGCCATGCCTGACTGCAGTGGCATGATAATGCTGTATAGTGTGGATGGGGCCTCCGTGTAACTTTAAAGACATATCACATCTTTCTTCTCACTCTTACACCGCTCTGCTCTTGCATGCAGGGCAAGGAAGGTGCAGAATCTGCACAAACCCATTTTCTATTATGTTCCATTATGTTATTGTTTGTAAGCTGGAGATTCATTTCAACAAAAAGCAGCATAGAAAAACAATCAATCAAGTTTGTAGAGATCAGAAACTTGCCTTTTTTAAACAGATGGAATTTAAGTCAAGAGTCTTTTTGGAGATTGTGTGTCTGAGTTTTTAACAGCTACACTGCAGGAGGCCCTAAGGAGCAGGACCTCCAGAGATTGCTGGACTCCAACCCCATCATCCCTGGCTATGCTTGCTGGGGCTCATGAGAGGTGAAGGCCAGTAATACTTGGAGGGCCACAGGCTCCCTACCAGCAAGCCAAAGAATTTCCTAGGATGATAAAACAACTGCATAAGCTTGGATTGTGCTCTTCTGCTATTTCAGCACCTCCTCTCAGCTTCTCTGACCTGCCAACTGTGCCTGCAGTTGGTTGACCAGGGCTTTCTGCCTCTCCGACTCTGTCAGGGCTTCATTCAGTTGGGAGTGGTAATCCATCCCCTTCTTCTGAAGACAGATCAAGCTCTGCTGGATTTGGGAGATACGCACCATGCTTTCCGCTAGCTTCTTGCTGATCTTGACCTGCAACGCAAAGGAGCAGAAGAGACAGGGGAACATATGGGGAAGGAGAACCCACAAGACCTTTCCTGGGAGGATGCAAGAGCTGTGCTTTCGGAGGCTCCCAAATGCTAAGAATGAGTCTCCCAGGAAACACCCTGAAGAACTGGTCTACTGGCAAGGCTATGAGGAGCAGGGGGAGGCAGAAGCCTTGGGCTTTTTAGTTAGTTCAGGAGAAAGCATGCACGACAAAGGTGCATAAAATGGAGAGCAGAAAAGCTTTCCCCAGAAAATTCAGGACAGACAAAAGAAAGGACATCTTCACACAGCAGAGCTCTCTCCCACAAGATAAAATGAAGGCCAAACAGTTAGATGGCTTTAGCAGCGGATTAGACAAAACAATGGGGCAGGAAAAGCTATATACAGCCAACAGCCACAAGGTCTCCCCTCCACCGTTGGAGGCAGCATGCTGTTCCTGGGAATTGCAAGTGGGGTGAGCACAGATCCTGCTTGTAGGATTCACATCTGGTTGTGAGAATAAGACGGGCTTTGGGCCTGATCCAGCCAGGCAAAAGCACTCAAGGAGGGTGCAATGTAGGACTGGTGAGGGTGCGTTGCTTGGAAGGAGTTTTGAGGGCCAAGCACATAGGCCTGGAAGGTGGCCTTTGGTCCAGGGACCTGGAGTCCCCCCACCCCTGATTTCAAAAAACCCATTGTCACTGAAGCTGGGAGGCACAGAGAGGCCTCACAACGAGAGACACCTGCAGAAGGCGTGGGGTTTTCCCCTGCTAAAAGTACGAAATGGTTGACCTGGAAAGTATGAAGGGAGTAAGGAAGTGCTCAGGTGATCAGGACACCCAAGGACAATGCCTCACCTGGTCCCACCCCTGATCCAGTGGCGGCATGTCCTAGAGAGAAAAGCGGCAACAAGGAGAGGAGAGTTAACACCACCAGAAGCAAGAACAGCAAGAGGGGAGAAAGTTTTATCAAAAGAGGCAATGGCATTCTGGGTTAAGAGCACTCTGCTTATTCTGTGGTCCAAGGGCTGATTATATCACTCAAAATCCCAGCGGCCTCAGGGTAAGATGCATGGAAGATCCCTTAATGGCAGGGTTTGCACGCTGACGCCCAAGCAAGAACAGGCCACAGCAAACCTGGACTTGCATGCTCTCCCCTTACATCTCCTCCTCTCATGCGGCCAGGAACCCGGACACTTATGCCCAGCCATGGTTTGCTGTGTTGCCTGGGACAACGAGCTGCAGCTAACATCAACAATGGTTAATATCAAACACACCAACTTCAAATGTTTGTTTCTATAAGCTAACTTCAGAATCTAATTCTGCTTAACATTAATGGCTGTTCTCAGTCCAGACAACAGAGGAAGCAGCAGTTACCTAGAAGTGGAAACTCTCACGCCCTTCTTCTTGGCTGCATAGGAGGAAGTGAGAGGGACGTTCACTGTGCTTGCTCACATCATGCCAATCCACAGTTTAGCATGGCATGTGACGCAGCCAATGAGATCTTGCTGTAGACCAATGTAGTGCATTTTTTTTTAGTCACTGTGTTAAATTTTAGAGGGACATTCTGTTGTTTTCTCAAATTCAACCTGAGGTGCTTTGCAAAGGATTACCTGAAGCTTATGAATCTTTTACCTGTATGTGCATGTATACCTAGCCAGTTGTTTGTTCTATTTTGTTGTTGCTTCTGCTCAGAAACGTAACTTATTTCTGGCCTGCAGGCAAAGGGGAATTGTGACCTGCACTAGCGATTGTGAACTCCTGGGATAGCACTTGCCCTCCCCACAGCCTCAGCCACTTGGCCTTCCTGTTGTGGCTGTAACAATGCCAGGGCTTACCTTCTCCTGTTCAGCATGTAGGACCCTTGCCTGGGTGTGCTCCATGGTGCTCTGCAGTGAGCTATCGCTCTGCTCAAATATCAGGTTGCTCTGCTCCACATAGCTGGGGGAAGAATTGTTTTTTGCACACGTGAATGTTTGCATGATTTGATACTTTCCATCCTCTCATGTAAAAAAAGAAATCAAGGCAGTATCATATGTAGATCACACTTTTCAAAAGCCACCCTAGGAGAGCTTCTATCCTTTATATCAGAATCATAATAGTTCTTATTTTATGTTCCATCTTTCCTCCAAGGAGCTCAAATACTGGTATATAGTTTTCCTCCCTTTTTTATCTTCACAACCCTGTGAGGTAGCTTAGGCTGAGAGTGTGTGACTGGCCCAAGGTCACCTTCAAGGCAGAGTGGGGATTGGAACCCTGGTCTCCCAGATCTTACTCTGACAGACCCTCTTAACTGCTACCCCACACTGGCTATATTCCTGTATTCCTCCATTTGTCCATCCAGCCCAGTACTGTCCACTTTGACTGGCAGCAGCCTTGGGGTGCCTGGGGATTGAGCCAGGCCACCTGAGCTTTAGGCTCCCTGCAGTATGGGAGGAAGGGAGTTAACAAACCTGAGTACAGTAGGAAGAGTCTGTTAAGGGGTAGGATACTCACCTGGCCTTTGGGACTCTGCCTCGGCCAAGCCCCTCACCTACCCCACCTCATGAACTCCCCAAGGGAGCTTGAGCCTGGCTGGAATGTGTCCTTGAACGGTGACAGTGCACCTTGCTTCCCTTGACAGGGAGAGGTGTGTGCAGAAAGAAGCCCCACATGGTGTATTTTCTGGCTGCACAGAAGGCAGGAGCAGCATCTGTTGCTCTGTCCACTGGAGCCCCAGCCCAGCCCTGGAATGTGGAACCTGCCAGGTTGTCTATGAGACAAGGTGGCCCTCAGGATTCTTTGGAAGAAGCCACAGCTGTTGAAAATGGCATGGCGCTATTTGGAACGTATGATTTATTGTGATTTATTGAATTTGTATACAGGATTTCATCCGTAGATCTCAAGGTGGTACAGTGCAGATTGGGTCTGAGTTATGCAGCTGAGGTGAAGGCCGAAAGCCTCAAACACAGAGGTGGCAACCTGTTTACTGCAGAGTTAGGATGCGACACCTGGGAGAATGGAAGGCTTAAAAGCTAAGAGCACCCTCAATTTATTTCTCACCCTGGCTTTGGAGCAGGTGTAGGAGGAGTCAGCCAGGCTGGGTCTGTAGCGGGGCTTTCTGATTGTGGTGCTGGTGAAGGTGTGAGGGAGTCCTTGGGGCCCAGGCTCTGTCCGGCGGAGTCAGCACCCTTTGCAAACCACACCTAAGGGAGCAAAAGAGGGGCATCATGGAGTCTGGTCAACCACTGCCTCCATTTGTAGAACCTTATCCAGGCGGTAGACTGACCACCCAACAACCTTCTGAGGTTCTCTTGGTTGCTAACATGTTGGGAGGAAGACACACTCACCCGTTTGACTTCCACCTCAAAGGCCAGGGTCGAGTCTGGAGGAATGCGTTCAGATTCTGCCAAAGGCCTGCAAGCCAATGCTGGTGGGATGAGGAGGAACCGCCTACCTCCTCTCTTCATGCCAATTATCGCACCTTCCCAGCCCTTCAAGTTCCAGAAATGGAGAACCAAGCAGAAAACAAATTTGGGTGACCGCCTTCGCTAAGGGCCAACAGCATCTGTGTGTATGTTTGTCAGGTTGGTAAAGGCTGGTCGAGAGCAGGGCACAGGAATACTGACAGTTCTCTTGCACTCTTGAGGACAGTACTGTAGTTTAAAGCAGGGATGAAAACCATTCCCTCTGGGGAAACCTTCTTGGTGGGGAGGAGCATGCCAGGAGTGGGCGGGGCAAAAGGGGAAAGTGGGAGGGGCAACGAATGTAATTTTTCCCCTTGTACAATAGGCTACCTTAGACACCCACTCACACTCCCCCCTCTCTCTCATCCAGGACAGCAAGAGGCAACATTGGAGGTCCAGGACTGTTTTGGTCCAGGCCACAGAGCAGGCTTGGCGAGGGGCATGGCCTGGGGTGAATCCTGAGGGCCAGTTTCAGTCCCTGCTGGGCCTGAGGTTCCCCACCCCACCTGTAAAGAAAGGCCAAGCCTGACTGACCAGTAGGGCAGGATCAGGAATTTTGCAGAGGACCCTGTTTGGGCCTCCCACTCCAGCAGATCCTGGCAAGTGTAGACAAGCTGGGACAGCTAACTGCCTGCTGTTCTTGAGGAAGCCATTTGATCTGGGTCTGAGCTCAAAAAACATCACTGCTATTCAGCCTTCCACACAGCCCGGGCTGCTGAACTCTGCTTAGATGTGGAAGTGGAGGCAAGAATCGCTAACTGGGACCTTGCACTTCAGTGGGAAGATAGCGCTATCTTACCTGGATGATTTTACCAGAGTCTAGCTTCACACGCAGCAGCTTTGCGTTGTATATATTTGAGTCGAAAACCTGTTCCAAAAGTGGAAGGTCAATGGGGTGAAATTACTTTTAATGCAGAAGATAATAGGTTCACGTTCCGCTACTCCCACTGCTGAGCCAACAGCAATGAGTATCGAAGGACGGGGCACAGCTCAGGGACACAGCACCTGTTTTGCAGGCAGAAGGTTCCAGGTTCAATCCTGGCATCTCCAAGTAAGGTCAGGGAAGGGCTTTTGCTTGGAAGCCTGGAGAGCTACTGCCAGTCAATGTGGGCGATGCCAACCTAGACCAGTGGCCTGATGCAGTGCAAGGCAGCTTTCCATGTTGAATCCCCTACCTAGCAGTGCCTCCCATGTTGCAGATTGGGTAAAATGAGGTTGAGAAATAGAATCTACACTTTGGAGACAGGTGTAGCTTAGGACCTAGCAGCATGTGCTTCCCAGGAAGAAGGTCCTGGGTTCCCTCCCCAGCATCCCCAGTTGAGAAAGGGCAGCAAGGCTGGGCAAGGCCCCACCTCTGGAGAGCAACCAATGCAACCCCCATGGAAAAGCATGGTTGGGGTCAAATGCACATTGAGCTGTGAAGCAAGCTGGGTGAGCCTCACCAAGTCCCTCTCCTGTTTCATTTCCTTACAATGTTATTGAAAGGCAAAAGGATGGGGTTGTGGGAGAAAAGGGCTGTATGCAATCTATAAACCAGGAGTGGGAAAGCTGTGGCCATGCAGTGCTGCTAGAGACTTCCACCCTCATCATCCCCAGCCACCCCCTCTGCCAGGTCTCACCTGCCCAAGACTACCGTTCTGGAACAGCCAGCCTGTAAAAGTGATCTCCAGGACATCTCCAGTCGCCACACCTTGGCCGTCTCCGAGAACAAGATCCTGGCACAGCACTGAGTCAGGAGATTGGCTGCTGTTATACTTGGCAATGCACAGCTGCAAGGAGGAAGAACCAAGCCCTTTGTGTCATTAGCCTGCATTGTCATCCGCACCTATGCAATCTGGCCCAGCGCAGCACTGGCTGAAGACCCCAGGGGCCTGAAAAGGCCCTAACTGGCTACACCACCATTCCTTGCCCTCCCTGGATGCTTCTTAGTGGTTGGCAGAGAAAGCATCTGGCGACTGATGCAAGAGAGCTGACCTCCCACGAACACTAGTTCAGTGTCTGCAGGTCAGCAACCCCCCCACCCCAAAATGCAATGCACGCCTCTGGCACCTGTTTACTGAAGTGCACAGCCGCCATTTCTGAGTCAAACATGATGGACCAATTCTGCCGCTGATCATCATAAAATGTGCAGTAGTTGTTGGGCTGCACCTGCGGAAAGAGAAAGGAGGAAGTGGAATTCTGAGCAGCAGACAGCCTCTGCTCCAAACAACTTTCTTCCTGATGGGTCTTGCTAAAGACTTTGGGTTGTGTCCCAATGTTAGCCCTACTCAGAGCAGACCCATGAAAATTGATGGACATGATGAACTTTGGTGCATTAATTTCAGTGAGTGTACTCTAAGTACACACACAAAACATCAACGTCTGTAGTGTGTCATGTTTAGAAATGGAAAAATGCTATAGGACTTCGGGGTGGAGGGCTACCCCATGGGATGTAAGCTACAGGAGCACAGAGGGCAGAATGTCATCTACTTTACTTTTTTACCTCTAGGTAAGTGTTTTAACCATAGAGGGGCCCCTTGGATCTAACACTATTCAAATCTAATGGGTTGCAACAAGCATTAGCCCTACTCAAAGCAGACCCACTGAAATTAATTGACCACAGCTGAGACCTCATATGCAATGTGCATTTCAAACCACCAAAGAATTCTGCTTAGCTTCAGCCTATGCCGTGGTCCTTGCAGGTCTTAACGTCAAAGCTTACCGTGAATACAAAAGAGGCATGGATGCTGGCAGTCGCAATCTGCTGCAGCTGGGTGATATAAAGAAGCACTTTGTACTGGATTCCACAAGAGACGGAAGGACAGAAGAAAACAAGAGCAAAAGTGAGGAATCAAAAACTACGGAGCTGGCTCTTTTCAAAAGCACCTGGAGCTCTTCTTATACCAGGTAACATTTCCACAGCACCCCAACACCCAAATGACACATTAACATACAAATACATCAGAGATGTTCATTGTAGGAATTGCTTTGGTTGCAGGTGCCTGGCTTAGTTACATGTGGAGTGACTTCGTTACAATGGAGCAGGCGTGGGGAGCCTTTGGTGCTGAGCTACAACACCCATTGGCTCTTGCCAGCATGGCCAGTGGAGAGGGATGACGGGAGCTGTCATTCAGGGACATCTGGAGGACCAAAGGCTCCCTACACCTGGACAAACCAAGGGGTGAGATCTGTCCTTTTCTGCCTAATTAGCTAAACGAGAATGACATCCCAGTGTTTTATCCTGTCCCACCACCCTCACCTGCAACGGCGCAGGAGGACAAGGCAATCAGACCAGAGTCTTCCTGGAATAAACGCATATGTTTCCTGACATATTTTATCTGTTGATTGTAAAACACCTGTGAATCCTTTCATAGCAAAGTGGGGCAGAACAAACCACTGAAGAGCTACTGACTGAGCTGAAAAGGACAGAGGCTGGAAAAAGTGAATCCCTTTTCCAACATAAGCTGCTGAAAACCCCTTCCTTTTTTGAGTGTGGTGGGAACGTTTATTGATTTTTCAGGCCACGACAAAGTTACCGTCTTACCACCCTCTATCCACTCCGCACACAATATCCCCTAGGCCCTTCTTTTGTCAAGATTCTAGTCCACGTGGTTCTAGTTAAATAAGAGCACAGGGAGCTGCCTCAGACTGAATCAAACCACTGGTTTCTCTAGCTCAGGACTGCCTACTCTGACCGGCAGCAGTGTCCCCAGCCTTACCCAGAGGAGCTAGCGATTGGAGTTGGGAGCTTCTGTCTGCAAAGTGGATGCTGTGTTGCTGAGTGACAGCCCCTTCCCTGCTGAGAATACCTTTTGTAGAGAAGTGAGGTCAGAATAAGAAAAATGGGAGCTATAACCCTTGTGAGCTGACTGGGCAGAAAGAAACAGGAGCCAAAACAGCAACTTCCAGAGTAAGACACCATCAGGAAACCAGGATTCAGACAAAGGGAAGCATTTCCTTAGCCCAAGCTACATCAACCCGGTATCCTCCAGATGTTTAGGACCAACAGCAGCTGTAGTCCCAAACATCTGGAGGACAGCAGGATGAATGACAGAAGGCCAGGCTACTTCAAGACACCACACCTCCTCTTCTTACCTCCTTGGTTGCATTGCTGCCCACTACAGCTGCTCCATACTTGCCATGTTTCACATATTTCCCATTGGTACTGGAGTGAGAAGAGAACACCTCTTAGCTTCCCACAATTGTTGCCACCATGCCAACCCCATCGGTTATATTAAGCAGCTCTTTACAAAGACTTCCCAGGGGTTGTTTAACTCCCATCAGCCCAGGCCATCTGGCCAATGGTGGGGGGTGGGCGGTAGCAGCCCAGCAACATTTTATCAGCCCACAAGCTCCCCATCCCAGGAGGTCTCTATCCTCATTTCAGTTCGGTGTTGGCTAGTGCCTCATTGGGGTGAATGCAGGGAGCCCAACTCTAGGTGGCACCAGAGCCAACAACAAGAAGGGCCAGCTAAGTCTAGGGCTGTCCCAATCCTCCTCCCTGCTGTGCTCTACATGGCAGCATGGAGACTGAGGGGGAAGAGGAAGCTGACAGGCAGTCCTGCCCTCTGGATCGGTTGGACGTCTGAAGGCAGGCAGGTGGGAGCCAGCTGAGGGCAGAATGAGGGGGTGCCTTCCTACTGGGCCTGCTTTCACTGGTGTGGCATAAGGCAAGGAAATCAACAGCACATTGAGCCAGAGTCAATGACATCCACAGCCTGATTGGCTGGAAGTAAAAAAACAACAACAGGCAGGTGGGGGCAGGCTGAGGTTGGGGAGGCGGTGCCCCATTCGCCCTAATCGACCACCCCCAACTGTTGTTCAGTTCCACCTCTTTCCGAAGAAGCCAGGCAAGACCGAGAGATGATTGCAAAAGATGTGAGCACAGGACTTGGGTAGCAAGAACACACTGCAGCTCATCCCCTCTACTGTAGTACTCACAACAAATATGCATGAACAACTGTAGCAAAGAAGACTGAATGCACTGCTGCAGTGGGCGCAGGAGCAGCAGCAGCAGCGGGCACAGCAGTGGGTGCAGCAGCAGCAGCAGCTGCAGGAGGATGCTTCTGGGTAGACAGACCTGCAGCTGGAGCAGCACATGAGAAGGGTAAGTGCTCTGTTGCAAACAGAACATTGCTTGCAAACATCAGGCCAAGTTAGCTCTCTTGTCTTGGGACCAAGCCAGTTGCTCAGATTAATGAAAAACAGGAAGTTGCCTTGTATGGTGTCAAACCACTGGGTCCATCTTCCTCAGTGTGGTGAATACAGACCACCAGCACCTTTCTGGGGGCCCTGGTCAGGGGTCTCTCCCCAGCGCTACTCGGGAGTTGACCAACCCAGTTGATTCTGTGGGGCTTCAGAACCAAAGGTTGGACTAGATGGGCCACTGCCCTGGTCCACAAGGGCTCATCTTATGTTCCTAGGCATTGTGAACAGTTTACTTACCGGTAGCTGGATGACTAATTTTGGCCCGCTTGGATGGCCTTGGATTTCCAGATTCTGTAGCTGTCTGATCCTGTTCAAAGACAGAGGCCAGCCTGGTCCTGGGCAGAAAAAAAAGTAACCATTCACTTCATTCACAGATGCTCATGTTTCACTGCAGGTTGGCGATTTTGTTGCAGCCTTCCCCAAAGACCAGAGGGTAATGGATTCAAAAACTAGAATCCTGTCAGTGATTAGGATGCTGGCCACATGACCTGGAACCTGTACGCCGGCTCCCTCGGCCAATAAAGTGAGATGGGCGCCACAACCCCAGAGTTGGTCATGACTGGACCTAATGGTCAGGGGTCCCTTTACCTACACACATTGTGAGTCTTCTCTAAGCAGAACTTAGTTGGAGACAATCCCTTCTTTTTCCTATCAAGTTTCTATAACCTCTCTTAAGAACAAAAGAAAAGCCTGCAGGATCTGGCCCAAGGCCCAGCGAATCCAGCATTCTGTTCTTACAGTAGCCAACAGAACCCAAGCACAAGAGGCCTCCCCCCTCCTGTGGTCTCCAGCAACAGTTATTCAGAAGCCCTGCTGCCACCAACTTAGTGAGCACAGCCACGGTGATTAACATTGCTAGCCTTCTCCTCCCTGAATTTTTCTAATCCTCTTTTAAAGTCACCCAAGTTGGTGGCCATTCCTGCCTCTTGTGGGACAGTTCTGTAGTTTAACTGTGCATGGTGTGAGAAAGTACTTTCTTTTGCCTTTCCTGAAGGTCTTCCAACATTCAGCTTCATCGGATGTTGTTCCCTATCCACTTTCCCTATCCACTTTCTCCATGCCATGCCTAATTTGATAAACTTCTATCATATTATCTCTTACTTGCTTTTTGTCTAAACTACAAAGTCCCTAAAACTGAAAAGACTGCTGCCAAATTAGTGCACCCAAGCTTTTATAGAACCTAGTAAACAAAACAAAAATTTAAAGGAATCCATTATTGCAAAGATACAAGCCCTGCCCTTGCAGTTTACTCTTTCCCCACACAGGTAGATTCATAGCCAGGAATGTGGGGAGAGGGAATAAACCTGGCTGAACACAAGTGGTTTTCCCTACAGACATTCAGAAGTATCTCATCTCAGGGTTGTTCTAGGAGCAGAAACATACCAGTTACCCCACATCCTAGCCCACTTCCCTGCACTCCTGAGAGCTAGAAACTTGCAGATTAAAACAAAACAAACAAACAAACAAACAAACAAACAATAAGACCAAGTATCTTCAAACATTAAATTTACAGACTTAGCCCCAAACTCCATGCTATACTGAACAGCAAGCAAAAATATCCAAGGGGTGAAGTGCCCATTTTAAATGCCTGACAGCACCCCAAACAGCTGGTCCGGATGAAACAAACCCGTGGACTGCCTGCCAAAGGTACTCTGTTCGCCCTGGGTCTGACATCGCTGTTGAAGTGCCCCAGTCGGTTCTCCAGCTCCCACCCATTCAATGTTGGCTGCTGTTTTCTCGTGTCATTACCCCTCCCCTCTCTTTTCCATCCTGAAGCATCAGCAAAGTAAGGCGTGGGCAGTGGGGGGTGAATTAAACAGCTAAGGTTTCCAAAGGCAATTCTGCGTTTGCACAACAGCAATCCTCTGGAATGGCTGCATGACCTTGTGAGAGATACGAAAATCCATCCTGTATCATCCCTAAGCAGTTCCTCTAGGATTCCAGCTAGAGAAAAACCACAAGTGGCAACATGCATGTTTGAGGGGCTCCCAAAAGAAGCGAGCGGAACAGAGATTGTGAGCTTGGCTTCTCCTTCTGGGGAGAGTGACATTCTGGGAAGACATAGGTCAGGGGTCAGCAAACTTTTTAAGCAGGGGGGCAGTCCATTGTCCCCCAAACCTTGTGGGGGGCCGGACTATATTTTGAATATTGGGGGGGGGGGAATCTGCAGTTCTCCATAAATTTCTGAACTAGAACTCCCACTGGCTATATGTCACTCTGACCTCTGCTCACTGCCAGTGTTGCCAAAAGCAGCAGTGCAGTGCCCTTATTTTGAACACCTAAAATGTCACAGTGTAAAGGGCACTAGAAATCTTTCTTAGGGTTCCTTTTGTAAAAGGAATCTAAGACCCCAAAACACCTCCATTCAGTCCTGTTACTGGCACCCACTTTAGGGCAGGAGTTAGAATTCCAAATTGTGACCTGGGAGATCTGGGTTCAGATCCTCACTTGGAGATGAAGCTCACTTTGTGACTCTCTCTCAGTGTAACATCAGCACAGAAGAAGTGGAAACAGAAAGCTAGAATTAGGAAAAGGGAAAATATTTCACCACAGCACAGGCAACAGGCATTTGTTGTTTTTTTTAAAGATATTTATTGGAATTTTACAGAATGAAAAAAGGAAAAAGAAAAATACAAAATACAAAATAAAAATAGTTAAAAAACAATTCCATCTTTCCATCACTTATTTTTCATTTGCTTGTTTCCCAGACCTCCTCACACCTCCCTTTTTTGTATTCCAATTCAATTTATTAGTTCAGCAAATCCTTTCCCTCTTTGTTTATCCTAGTCTTTAATCTTAAAATATTATACCATTAAATTTTTACCTGTTAATAATCCATTTTTTCATATTCCTTATAGCGTTATAGCTAAAAACCACTTAACATTTTATCCAACATCATTCTAACATTCATTAATTTTACAATATTTCTGTAGATAGTCTTTAAATTTCTTCCAATCTTCTTCCACCGACTCTTCTCCCTGGTCTCGGATTCTGCCGGTCATTTCTGCCAGTTCCATATAGTCCATCACCTTCATCTGCCATTCTTCCAGGGTGGGTAATTCTTCTGTCTTCCAATACTTTGCAATAAGTATTCTTGCTGCTGTCGTGGCATACATAAAGAAAGTTCTATCCGTTTTTGGCACCAATTGGCCTACGATGCCCAGGAGAAAGGCCTCTGGTTTCTTCAAGAAGGTATATTTAAATACCTTTTTCATTTCATTATATATCATCTCCCAGAAAGCCTTAATCCTTGGGCATGTCCACCAAAGGTGAAAGAATGTACCTTCAGTTTCTTTACATTTCCAACACTTATTATCGGGCAGATGATAGATTTTTGCAAGCTTGACTGGAGTCATGTACCACTTGTATATCATTTTCATAATATTCTCTCTTAAGGCATTACATGCCGTAAACTTCATACCTGTGGTCCATAACTGTTCCCAGTCAGCCATCATAATGTTATGTCCAACATCTTGAGACCACTTAATCTTAGCAGATTTCACCGTTTCATCCTGCGTATTCCATTTCAACAGCAAGTTATACATTCTTGACAAAGTCTTAGTTTTGGGATCTAACAGTTCTGTTTCCAATTTTGATTTTTCCACCTGGAATCCAATTTTTTTGTCCAAATTGTATGCCTCCATTATTTGATAATAATGAAGCCAATCTCGCACTTTGTTTTTTAATTTTTCATAACTCTGCAATTTCAGTTTGTCTCCCACTTGTTCCAAAATTTCCCAATATTTCAGCCATTTGGCCTCTATATTGAGTTTTTTATGAGCCTTCGCTTCCATCGGTGACAACCACCTTGGGGTTTTATTTTCAAGCAAATCCTTATATCTTATCCAGACATTAAACAGTGCTTTCCTGACAATATGGTTTTTAAATGCTTTATGTGCTTTGACCTTGTCATACCACAGATATGCATGCCATCTAAATACATTATTAAAACCTTCCAGATCCAAAATGTCTGTGTTTTCAAGGAGTAGCCATTCTTTCAACCAGCAGAAAGCTGCTGATTCATAATAAAGTTTAAGGTCTGGCAGGGCAAATCCACCCCTTTCCTTTGCATCTGTTAATATTTTAAATTTTATTCTGGGCTTCTTGCCCTGCCAGACAAATCTAGAAATATCTCTCTGCCACTTCTTGAAACAATCTATTTTGTCCAAAATTTGCAATGTTTGAAACAAAAATAACATCCTTGGCAATACATTCATCTTTATAGCAGCAATACGGCCTAACAATGAAAGCTTCAAATTTGACCAGATTTCTAAATCTTTTTTCACTTCCGTCTAGCATTTTTCATAATTGTCTTTAAATAAATTCCCATTTTTAGCTGTCATGTTAATCCCCAGGTATTTCACTTCTTAACCACTGTTAAACCTGTCACATTCTGAAACCTCTCTCTTTCAATCGCTGTTAAATTTTTCTCTAAAACCTTTGTTTTTAGTTTATTCAATTTAAATCCTGCAACCTGGCCAAAATCTTGAATCAGTTCCAAAACTCTTTTGGTACTAGATTCTGGCTCCTGTAATGTCAGTAGTAGATTGTCTGCAAATGCTCTCAGTTTATACTGTTTAGCTCCGACTTGTACACCTTTAACCAACTGGTCCCTTCTAATCATATTCAGCAAAACCTCCAGGACTGATATAAAAAGCAATGGAGAAATTGGGCAACCTTGTCGTGTTTCTTTTTCTATCTTAAATTCCTCTGTAACCTCGTTATTAACAATTAACTTAGCCTTTTGCTCAGAGTAAATTGCACTTATACCATTTCCAAATCCTTCTCCCACCCCCATCCCCTGAAGGTTCTTCTTCATAAAACTCCAAGAAATGTTGTCAAAGGCTTTCTCCGCGTCCACAAATATCAAAACTGCCTTAGTATTAATATTCACTTCTAGCTTTTCCAAGATGTTAATTATATTCCTCAAATTGTCAGACAAATGTCTACCCGGAAGAACGCCTGCTTGGTCTTTATGAATCTCTTCCATCAACACTTTTTTTAATCTCTTGGCCAAAATATCTGCAAAAATTTTGTAATCCACATTGAGTAATGATATGGGGCAGTAGTTCTTAAGCTGGGTTTTTTCAGTTTCTGTTTTCGGTATAAGTGTAATGTACGCTTCTTTCCACGACTCTGGTGCCTTTTTCCCTTCCAATATTTCATTACAGACTTCCTTTAAAGGTTGTACTAACCATTCTTTTAAAGTTCTGTAATATCTTGAAGTCAGTCCATCTGGTCCTGGAGATTTGCCTAATTGCATGTTCTGAATGGCACCTTCTATTTCCTGTTCAGATATTTTGTAATTCAACATTAATTTATTTTCTTGAGAAAT